TATATACATACGTGTGTGTTCATGCACGAGCATCGATGTGCTTGTAAACACAGAATTCAGTAGGTAAAATAAAGATGGATTCTGAAACTATCCTTCACTTTTCCTACTTTTCCCTTTCTATTTCTTATATGAAAAACCTACAGAAGGATAAAGGCACGAAGGAGAGACGATAGGTCAAATAGGTAAAAATATAATGAAAAGAAAATCAAAATCACACAGGCAACGTTAATATTCTGTAAATATAAAAGTATATACGAGAATAAATAAATCACAAATGAGAAATTAAATGTCATTTCGTGTACTAATAATTCATATCTATGTGCATAAACCTACATTGCTACGTTTGTCACAGTTGCATTTTGCTAAATACTCTTGATATGACAAACATCAGTCTCCGATAAATTTACTTCAATGATATCACTTCAGTAGACGTGAGTTTGCGGCATATTCGGGCCTTTGAAAACGTCTTTAGACGAACTGGCAACTCGGCTGCACATGATGGATGCATAGCAATGTACATTTATAGATAGAAAAATAAGTGGATGGAGAGACGGATAGATAGATACATGCAAAATATATATAAATATGTGTACACACACGGTATATATATATATATATATATATATATATATATATATATATATATAATTCTCTACCTATGATACTCATGCCATCTATATTCATGGTGGATGGATAGACGGATAGATAGATACATACAAAATATATATATGTGTACACACACACACACACACACACACACACACACACACACATATATATTATATATATATATATATATATATATACATATATATACATATGTATGTATCTATCAATCTCCATATTTCTACATTTTCTCTCTCACTCTCACTCCCTCTCTTCTTTTATATATATATGTATGTATGTATATGTATATATATATATATATATATATACGTATATATATATATATACATACATACATATATATAAGTATATATATACATATAACATACACATTTAGTGTAACTTTTTGTTTTTTTTTTCTGCCCATACAAGGAGGATTAGAAATGTATTGTTCTTTAAGTTGAATAACAATCAATTATTTAAAAAGATTGGCAAATATAAGCAGTTAGAATCATGATGAATCATAGAAAAAAAGTCATAACCTTGACTAACAGACACTGAAACAAGCTGTAAAATGAATAGATAGAAAGATAAAGTAACGCGATGAACCTGTTCCCTGCAACATGCAACACCGCTTCTCCTTTAACATAAATTCATTATCATGATTATTATTCTCACTATCATGACGGCCAATATCCTACGAGACTGGGCGAAAGCCTGTCTCTCTACTATGATACGCAGGGACATGGGTATCCTTTGCCAGGACTGGATTCCTCGCACCTTCTGAAGGCCGTGAAACCCTTTCCTCCTGGGGTCTCCGCAGGGCCTGTGAGATGCGGCAGGAGGATAGGCCAAGGACCGTCGACGGCATGGACTGCGCCCACGGAACAGATGTGGACATGCGCAACAGGTGCCAGTGTGCCAAGGTAAATTGTATTCCTATTTTTCAGGAATAGCTTATTTTTCTCGGAATCTAAAAAGAACAAATCTCTCTCTCTCTATCTATCTATCTATATATGACGAATCCTTCCCGAATATTCGTATATAACGATATTTGTTCCCTTTTCTTACAGGGGCCGAACGAGATCTCGGAGGAGCATGGGATGAACACGACAAGTGCACCGCAAAACTTCACTGCTTCGTCGAAAGGTCGATAGAAAACCATTAAAGTACTTAATATGTAGGTATGGTATATAACTATGAGCAAAATGTGGTAGAAACTCCAAATAAAACGGAAAAAGTACTCGACTACTCTTCAAATATGGTGATTTATATTCACTCCCTTTCGTCTCACAAGGCTGTGGAACTTCTCAGATTCAGTCTAAGCATTTTTTCTTAATGCATACATTGTTCTTCATATTAAAAGAGGAAGTTGCAGGATATTTTGCATTTCATCGTTCCAGCGACCGTAATGATTGACTTCATATTTTACTCATATCGAGGAAGCAGGAATTAGTCTAAAACCCTGTAAAAGAAAGAAGAGGAAACATGGATTTCATGAACTGCTAAAAAATGGACCTTTAGAATAGACTTTTGTATCATGAATGCTTTTCGTAACTAATTAAAATATAAATTTCTAGGAAGGGCAAAGACTTCGATACAAAATGAGGAGATTCACGTTTTTTAATAATGTGCGCGCAAAGGGCAAACATGCATCAAAGCGTATCAAACTGTTTTGGGTTTCGAGGACGCTACAATAAGAGACCTTTAGTTTAATTTCATTTGGATATTCTTTGAGATAAGTATACATAGAGATGAATACCAACGCAATAAGCTTACATAGGTGAAATGAAACAGCCATAACAAATTATAGAAAATATAATAAATAAAACGAGATAGAGACACAGGCGACGAAACCGTAAATACACTCAAACTTGATACAGACAATTACAAATAGACAGAAAGGAACAGTAACAATCAAATGACAGGAGACGAGTCAATCTGGAAAAGCCTCAACAACTAAACTAAGGTCAACTCAACCAAACCCAACTGTCCCACTATCTTTTGTCATTTTGACCAATTAAATGTTAGTTAAAGATTTTAGTTATTATCAACCTCACTTTCCACTGACATCACTACATCCAAAGATGACACTTTAAACAAAAAATTGACATGCATCGCCCTTCTCTTCAGATTATTTCCATTATCGACTTGATCTTCATGAACACATCCCTCCAGCGATGCTGCTCTAGCTGCAGGTCCCTCCAAGAGCCACTGTTTTTCTTTTCCTTTCTTTCTTTCTTCTTTTTTCTTTTTTTCTCTTTTAGGAAAATATATAGGCGTCATCTGGAGCCCCCGTGGGACGGGTGAGAATGGACCCCTTAGCTATGCCTCCTCCCCTTCCCTCTTCTCCACCTGTGTTGCCAAATTATGGCAACGCAGGTGGAGAAGAGGAGAGTATCCTTTCGGTTTCGTCATGTGATGAGGCGTCGGGTTGATTCGAAACGTCACGATTTATCGCTCCCAAATTGTTTTGGCTGAATTTCATTTCACATACGTACGCGCGTACGCATGTGCGTGGGTATTGCATCATAATTCTGCCATAACCAAGCATTCAGAAACATCTCCTTTGGGACACTCAGAGCTGCAGTGCCGTAGGTGTTGGCATTCGTGGTGTCGCAAAACTTGCACAGGAGTCCCGTGGGGCGTCCCTCGCCCCCCCCCCTCCAAATGCCACGCCCGTCGGTACCCGATGCTCAGGCACGCTCACTAGTTGCCTTTTATATTAATAAGATATGATGATAATGATAAAAGGGATAATAATGACATCATAAAATGAGTTACAATCAAATGATCATAATGCAAATGAAAAATGGTGATAATCATGGTAATGAGGATATATTTCATGTTAATAATAAATGCAAGCATATTAAACTATTATGCTATTAAACGCATTACTGAAAATTATAGTGATTCTATTTCTTATACCAGTTGAGTGGAGTGTCTACACAGCTGTAGAATATACACGTAAAGCAAGACTGAAAAGAAATTCCTAGATATAATAAAACTTTGTACTGAAAAAAATAGGCAGGTGTGGGGGAAAGGGAAAGTTATTTGGGGGAGAGACAACCAGGCTTACATAACCCGAAATTATACATATGCATGAATATATATACATATATACATGTATATGTATATATGTGTGTGTGCGCACACAAACACATATATGTATGCATGTATGTACATATATTTGTATATGTATTAATACATACATATATATATGTGTGTATGTGTGTGTGTGTGTGTGTGCGTGTACATATATATATATATATATATTATATATATATATATGTATATATATATATATATATATATATATACTATATATATATATATATATATATATATATATATATATATTGGCCAACATATATAAATCAACGTACATACTAAACATACTTATATATACATACGTTAATACATACATATATACATACATATCTGTGCGTGTGTGTTTTTTTTTGTGTATATGAATAGAAATATAATGATTCATTTCTTGCTTTCATCCTTCTAAAGGATATAGTCTTCGGTATACCTAGGTTAAATGTCTTTACATATAATAAAGAGATGTTTAAAATGACGAAAATCATGTTCCCCTGCAGTAGTGCCCATATATATATGTATATATATACATATACAGTACAGGCGGAGAGGGTTGCGTAGGAAACAGAGGGGCCCTCAGGTGACCAGCTGCGTTTGAGGTAGAAGGAAGGAGCAAGACTTCCCAGACAGGTGGGGAAAAGGCTAGTCAGGTGACCAGCTGAGTAGAAGGCAGAGGAAGGGGCGATACCCCGTGCCTGTCGAGCGTGTCGTGCTTCGTGCCAACCCTGGGTGCCCAGAAATCACTTGAGTGAGATTCATACTGAATGGGAATTATCCGATAACTTATTGGTTGGAGGAATAAAGGAAAGCTTTTTGGTTTACCCTCAGGGGACAATGGGGTTTGGAGGACCTAGGCTGACCTTGTTCAGTGGATAAAGCTTTTCCAGAATTATTTGGCATTGGTTCGCCTCCTGTCACGGGATTCGGTTCCTGAACCTGGTGGTTTTCAGTTGGCAGACACCTGTATTTTCTCTAATGTGACTCGAATATTACGTTTTTGTATTAAATTAATTCATTTGATCAACGTAGATGTTATTCTTACTCCTATGAACATCTACCCATCTCTCTATCAATCTATATATGTATATGTATATTTTATCTTTTCTCCGTGTAATGATTTCTGACAAATTTCTTTGCCAAGTTCTTTCTTGTGGCACTACACTTTTGCATGAGAACGATTACCGACATTCATACTTTTCTTGTTTCTCTTTCGCTGCGGTGTCATTCACATGAAATATTTGAAACATTATGTAAAAACATTCAGGAAACTATAAATATGAAGTGCTTTCCAATACTTTAATCCCATCTACATATTTCTATAGTATAAAACAAGGTAAATATTATCTTCAATTCCAAAGCCCAAAGTGCATGCATCGACGTGATCTGAGAAACGGATTCTTCCGAACTATACACTTCACATCCGCATTCAGCCATCGATGTTGAGTCTGCATTTGCCAACAAGAGTCACGTTTTCGACGAAGCAGTGAAGCTTTGAGGTGCATCTGCCGTGTTCTCCCCATGTTCCTCCGCAGGTTTCGTTCGGCCCCTGTAAGAAAGGAAAACGCTGTCTTTTCTGCGAACATTCATGTCTAATTATCGCTGCAATTATTTGCCTGGACAGTACGCATACACCACAAAACACACTCCTTACCTTGGCACACTGGCACCTGTTGCACATATCAACATAAGTTCCGTGGGCGCACTTCATGTCGTCGACGGTGTTCTGCACGCATCCTTGGCTCCTCGTCTTGTTGTATTCCACAGGACTTCCGGAGACCGCAGGTTCAGCGGGTCCTTGACAGCTGACACTCCTTACCTTTGCGCACTGACACAAGTTGCACGTGTCCACATATGTTCCGTGATCGCAGTTCATGTTGTCGACGATGCTCTGCATGCACCCTTGGCCCATCCCGCTGCCGCATCCCGCAGGCCCTGTAGAGACCGCAGGTTGAACGGGTCTCGGGGTCGGCAGAGGGTGCAAGGGACCAGGTCCTTGCAAAGGGTACCCATGCCCATGCACAATATGGTAGAGCGAAAGGATTTCATTTAGTCCCTGGAAAGTAATGATAATCATTACGATAAAGCGGTGGCAGAGGTGGGTGGTGTTGCAAGTTCCAGATATTGCTTTTGATCTGATATTGTTGCTGATATTATTGAGAGCTTTTCATTTATGTTATAGTTCTGTGTTTAGGTTTTCCAACCATTAAAATTGATTTTTGTACTTGTGGAAAAACACAATGTTAATGAACCTTGTCAATATATATAAGAAAATATAGAAACAAGAAACATTTACACCAAAGGTAGTAAACACGTTTCATTACAAGATCGCATTCGGACGCCTAAATACAGATTTTTCCCACGTGCACTCATATCTTGTCTCATGCATACATATTCAATTAGTCACGTGCTCGCAACGCTTTACCGTAACACAAACGCTAACTATTCACCTTGGCACAATGGCACATGTTACACATATCCATATATGTTCCGTGGGTGCAGTTCATGTCGTCCACGATGCTCTGCTCGCATCCTTGGCCTATCGTCCCGCCGCATCCTACAGGCCCTTCGGAGGCTGCAGGAGGAAGGGGACTCGCGGCCATCAGAGGCTGCGAGGAACCAGGTCCTTGCAAAAGATACTCAAGGTTTTCGTTCGGTTCCTATAAAAGTACAATAACGATATCAACAACCATATCTATAAATAGTTACAATTATGCAAACACATATGTGACCCTCCACCCCAACACACACACGCACACTCCTTACCTTCGCGCAGTGGCACGTGTTGCACGCGTCCACATATGTTCCGTTGACGCATTTCATTTGGACGACTATGCTTTTCACACATCCTTGGCCTATCGTCTTGGCGCATCCTACAGGCCCTGTGGAGGCTGCAGGAGGAAGGGGTCTCGCGGCCATCAGAGGCTGCGAGGAACCAGGTTCTTGCAAAATATACTCGTGCTCTTGTGTAATGCGATAGAGAGAAAGGTTTTCGTTCGGTTCCTGTAAAAGTATAATGGTAACGATATCAACAACCACACCTATAAATAATACTGCATAGAAACACACGAGGCTTTATCCACTTCCACGCACTCATTCAGTTACAGTAACACATACACATATGTAACCCTCCACCCCAACACACACATGCACACACTCCTTACCTTGGCGCACTGGCACGTGTTACACGCGTCCACATATGTTCCGTTGACGCATTTCATCTTGACGACTATGCTTTTCACACATCCTTGGCCTATCTTTTTTCCGCATCCCATAGGCGCTGCGGAGACTCCAGGAGGAACGGATCCTTGCAGAGGATTCCCGTGTCCTTGTCCAATGCTGCCGGGAGATTTTTTCTTAACATCCCTCCATAATATAGTATGATAAAGAAACATGAATGAATCAAAAACTGTTGAACGATAGTTAATATGAAAGATGTTGAAAAAATCAAATCAACTCACCTGCTGACGAAGAGGAGGCACACGGCGAGGGGGAGGACGCTCTTCATCTCGGCGAGTTCGAAGCACGAAGACCAAGTGACTAAGAGCCTCTTCTTTTGTGTTATATACTGAGCGTGTAACCTTCAGCACGCCCACCTCTCCTCCTTAACCTTTTGTTCGTCTATCTCCCATATTTGAAAACTTGCCGCACTGTTGTCATATCCTGTAACTTGTTATTGATCTTGTTTCATGTGCATATCCTTGTGTACACTGCTTATCTCCTGTCAGTCAAATATCTTGAGACGAAAATGTTTTCGGGCGTTTGAGTCGCTGCCATTCCATGATGTTAAGTTAA